GGGCCCCCGGCGGGGCAGCGCTGCGCCTGCGGCCGGGTGACGCTTTATTTTGGGATGTCCTGGCCGCACGTCCCGTGTGAGATCTCCTGGCCTCCGCGTGTACCAGGATTAGAACATACAGCCCGTGGTGGAGTCAGGCTGCCTCCAGTCAGCGGGAGCTTAAGTGCCCTAGAAATATAATTAACGTCCTTTCTGTCTCAAGGCCATGCAGGCTGGTGTCTGAAGAGAGCTTCCTCCCATCGCTGAGGACGAGGAGGAGAGCAGTAAACTGGTGTAGAACAGAAGCTTCAGACTGCTAGATTTGAGTGCTCTCCGCTTCTCCGTTAAACCCGAATCCCTTGTCCCTGGTACCAGTTGAAATCCACACCCGGCAATTTTTACTCTGCCCTGCCTTGCTGTGGATATTGGGAAAAGTGTCAGCTCAAGGCGAGTGTTTGGGCAAAGTTCTTCTCTGGAGACGTTACCCTGATTAAAGACCTGCTTCGGGTCCCAGCAGCTGTTTGATTTCTAAAGTGATCTGGTGCACCTCGCCCAGGGGAGCGGCTGGTGCCGTCGGAGGCTGGGGGTGGTGGGAATCCCAGCCTTTCCTGCACGTTTTCTTCTCGAGAGCGAGCGAGCGGTTGCCCGCAGCAGCGGAGCGTTGCAGTCTCTGCAGGCAGTGAGGTGGGAAGGTCCGATGTCTAGGAAACTCCACTGGTTCTGCAGCATCAACACTGGCGGTTGGTTATCTCCTGGGGAACTGGGGAGGAGGGAACTATTTCTGTAGAAGGTGAGGCAATTGCTCTAGAAAATTATTCGGTGGATGGAATTAAAAGGAGGAAACAAAATTGAAAGTGGCCTCTGAGGAGTAGTATTTTCAAAATAATATTGATGGCCTGAGGTGTTTGGTGCTGCTTGTTTACTGTCAGAAATTGAGGGCTTAAGGAGCTGTGCTGGGAAGGAGCTGGCTTCCTGGTGATGTCATTTGAAGGAGTTAAATTAGATGTTGCTGAAGAGGCACTTGGATTTGTGCACAGAATGCTGACAAATTGCATGGCCTGTGGAGTCGGGAAAGCCCTGTCTGTGGGTAAGTCATTCCTTCCCCCAGGCTAATTAAATACGGTGTTTTGAAACGTGAACAATAGCCGAATGTAGAAGCCGTGCTGAAGGTGCGGTCATCTGCTGCTGGTGACCTCTGGCATTACCCTTCCTTCCTCCTTCCCAAGTTGCATTGCAGAAGCGATGGGTGCAGGAAACCGGTTGTGAATAGGATGATCCTGGGAAAGGCTGGGCAGGTACAGGAATAGAAGAACTTGTGAGCGGTGTTGGGTCCTCGCCCTGCTCTGAGGGAGGTTCAGCTCTGAAGAACGGAGGCAGCCTCGTGCATCTGGGTTTCCCTCGGCGTCGTAAGGCCGGTGCCATGGTTTGCGGTTATTACCGTGCAGTGCTTTTGTTAGGTGCTTTCATGATGCTTCCTTTTTGTTGTTGTTGGGATATTACTCCTTTATCTTGCTAAAAGAGAAATGTGTGGGTAGGAGACGTTTATTCTACTTCCAGTTATTCTTTCTGGTTGCTCAGAAAGCACAGGCCTTACACAATCACAGAATCAGCTCGCTTGGAAAAGACCTTGAAGACCATGGAGTCCAACCATGAACCTCGCACTGACAGTTCCCAGCTGCACACTCGGGCCTTTCTGCCAGCCGAGGCAGGTTTTGTGGGGGTCCTGTCCATTAACCTCTTCTCTGCTTTGGCCCTTCCTGGCTGACATTAATTATTTCACTTCTGTGGCTCAGTTGATCTAATGTAAATTAGGGATAGATAATCGCTGTATTAGGGAAGCTTAATTAGGTGTCTGATGTTTGTAAAACATCTTGAACCGTCCGTGTAAGGGCTGTGCGGGCACTCCACGTTAGTAGGCATGTGCAGACATACACTTGATTCTGATCTAGTTCAGCCTTTATGATGTGTCTGTGCTAGCTTCTATAAAAACCCAGCAACAATAAGTGAAAACCTTTTCTGAATCATTGCTGTAAGTCAGCATCAAGGTTTTCCACCTTCTGTACTTCTGATTAGGAATTACAATACGACAGCATACACATGCTTTGCTTAAGGGCTCACCTTTGAATGCACGGTTCTGTACTCTGGGGTTTCATAAAAATTAGGAAATTAGCAGAAGTGGAGATCTCTGTTTCAGAATGATTGTAACTAATACAGTGAAGCAGCTGAAAACATGCCAAGCAGCGCTCTCAGAGGTTGTTTAAGGGACAGGAATAGAGTGTGGTCACAGGATAATTATTGTCTGCTGCTGCATAATTTGTGGGGGTCCTTATGGAAAAGGGTTGATGTAATTGCATTAATTTTATCTGCTGGGTGGTGGTGCTGTTCGGGCCAGTTCCTCTGCCAGGGAGCAGCTGATGACCAGGGGTTGTGCTGTGGTGCAGTCAGGGACTGGTCTGCCCCAAAAAGTAATTTTGAAAGTTTCTGACCCATGGGGACAGTTTTTTCCCCGGGGCCCAGCTGGTCTGGGAGCTTGGGGTCACTGGAGTTTTGCCAGGGAGAATTTTCTTGTCATCTTCCTGGCAGCTCTAGGCTCTGATGTGTGTGCTTAAGGCTGGATCTTTCTCCTCATTCTTCAGCACTGGAGGATGTGGAAGCCTCTTAGAAAGAAATATCTCAGATTGTTTGGAAAGTATCATTATGAGATGAGCTGCCCAGCCTGCTGCTTGCGCTTTTGCTGCAGACTTCAGGTGTGTCGGTGCCTCTGGAGGAAATCACAGTAACCTCAGCAAAGCACTGAACGTGAAATTTGCCACACAGAGGAAATGGTGCAGAAGCCCAGAAGGTTCTGCCTGACTTTGGGTCACTGATTAGTTGGACAGATGTTTCCTGGAGGTTGCCAGGTGTTGGCGAGCAGCAAGAATCTTGCTGTCGCTGTTCTGCGAGGAACGAGCTGCACCTTGGTCGGGCTTCTGGTGAATCGGTGCCGTTACTTGGCCGCTTTCGCGGGGATGCTGGCAGGAGGGGGGGGTGAGCTGCTGGTGGGTAAGTGTCGCTGCGGGAGAGCCTAAAGAAGGTTCCGCTATTCCTCTTCTGCTTCTAAACGGGCACTTGAGTTTTCCAGGCTGTAAATCCGGCCTATTTTACTAATATGTAATTACTTTATGATCTTATGATAATACAGGGAGCAGCAGAAGATGCTCACGTAGTTGTTTGATCTCCCATAAATTTGCAGAGTATTTGAATGCTCTGAATGAGGTGGCTGCTTTATCCAGTGTGAAAGGATGGCCAGTACCTGCATTTCCAGCCATTTTCTTTAACACAAACCATGCTTTTTTAGGGCAAATCACGTTGTAGATGCGGTTGTTTTACCATGTCATTCTTACAGCTGGCTGGCTTCCTTCATTTAGGCCTCTGTGGAAAAATGCGCTCTCTAGCTGATTCTAGACCCTTCCGTGGGTTTTCACAACAGCAGCGATGTGACCCTGCCAGCACTGATGGGGCCGTTCCTGTGAATTAAGTTAATACGGAGCTCGCGAGCGAGGGCTGTTACATAACGGCGCAATTAAAGTTCGAGGCTCGTCTGGCTCTTTCTACTTAGAGCTGCAGGGAGAGGTTTGGTTCATTACTTTGCTTTCTTGTGGCGTATTTTGGTTCTTGCAGCTTTGGGTCTTCCATGTTTGAGTTTGGCCTCGGGTACCAGGGATGTTCTGGGGTGTGTGCAGAGATTAGCGCAGGTTTTTTTCTGCTCCTTGGGGATTAAACGTCAGTTACGTTGCTGTCGTCTCCTCTTGTGAGAGACTTGAGGCAGACCTTTGTGTTTCAGCTGGTGAGTCTTTAGCCTATCCACGTGGATATTTGCGTGTACAGGCCGAAGATTCCCCTGGTTTGGGGCATGCTGCGAGTGAATGTCATGGTTTTCGTTTGCGCTGCAGCTGGCAGTAACCCGCTGCGCGTTCGGAGGGGGGTGCTGATGTGCAGAGCAGCGTGCGGAGCGGCTGCAGGCGGGTCGGCGGGGCCTGCCTCCTGCAGAGGGTGATCGCGTGGATGTGCTGTAGGATCTGGTGGTGGTTTCTGCGCCAGAGACAGAAAACACAAACACCGCTGATGGGAGACGAGAGAGATTCCCTTCGCTCGAAATCCTCAGGGTGTGAAACTGGACGTGGAGGGGTGTCCAGGGAAGCACACCCTGTGTATCTCTGGGGCCCACAGAGTGTTTGGCTTCTCTTCGGAGCCCTGAAAGGAGGGAGGGGAGAGTATCGGATGTCCAGTGGCAAATATGACAGCTAATTTTAAGCTCTAGACATCTGCCCGCTGTAAACTGTATTGAGATCACCCAACTTATTTTACCCCAGCAGCTGAGTAACATCTGACAGCTGAGAATCTGGGCTGGGTTTGAACCAAAAAAATGCCAGATAAAGGCACTGTATCCTATTAAAGAAAACATCTTTTTAAGAATTGCTTGGAAAAGGCAGGTATGTTCCTTTTTGTCAGAGCATCCTAAAAAAGACTGCTTGGTCAGGACAGGATTCTGGAGCCTTCACTAAATCCTAGATATTTTAGGGGTTTTGTCACTGTTTCATAATGGAGGCAGGAAACGAAGTAGGAGTGAGGGTCAGGAGAGCTGAGAGCGCGAGTCTGCCGCCCGCTCCCGTCCTGAATTGCTGTAGCTGGGTCGTTGGGCTCTGGGTGCCTGTACCCGCGTGTGCAGGGGCCGTGCCAGCACAGCGAGACCTGGGGCTGCGCTTTGGACAGATCCCCAGAGCTGCCAGCGACAGAAAATCCGGTGCGTTGGGAGCTGGAGTAGGGGGGTGGAAGCCACGATCGGCACTCGAGCGGGGGCAGCGTGTGGAAGCTCTGAGGAGGAGGCAGGAGTTGTTAGGCAAACGTGGGATCGCGTCAGTGGTGCGCGGGATGGCAGCTCCTCGTGGCTCCTCTGTTCTGGGAAGGAGCAGGGGCTGAGCCTTCAGCCGGGCACGGGGAGTAGAAGGAGCCTTGTGATGGCAGCGAGCTCCGCGCGCTGCGGCCCCTCAGCCCCCAGGTGTGCGAGGGGGGCACCCGCACCCGTGGCCGCTGCTTCTCTTGGTGGCAGGTCCTCTAGGGTGAGAGGGGCCGGAGCACTTGAAGAATTAGGGGTCTTGACAAATGTAAAAAGAGCAAAAAAAAAAACTGCCTGGCTTGCAGGGAGAGTTACTCCAAACAGTCCCTTCCTTGTGAGCCCGCGGTACACGCAAGCAATGAAAGACAAGCTTCTTCCCGAGATCCTTGGTGCAACTCTTCCCCGTCTTCTGTGTCCGGCGTGGAGAGGCCCTGAGAAGACACCAACCTCCCCTCACAAAGCAATCCATTCAGCCCAGATTGTATTTTTAGCAAAGCACGATTCTTCTTCAGTTTCAAAAGTAGCAAGTGGGGAATGCAGCCTACATCAGTGCGAGATGCAGAATGATCTCATTCAGGCTGCAGCATCTGTTTGGATTAAAACAATTACCAGTGATATCAGGAGATCTGCATTTTTTCTTGTCATAGCCAGAGGCCGTGGTAAACAAGAACTGTTTTCTCTGTGTGCTTTCTATGTCAGTGGAGCACAACTGGGGAGAGATGCTCCTGTTCTGCGTCTGGGATCTCAGACCAGGAGCCCTGCACTTCCAGCAACCGTCTCTGCCTTTGTGCTTTTGGGGGGCAGTTTGCTTTCCCTTTCACAAACTCTTTCCATCATTAAGTTTAAGCTGTGTGAGCAGTAGAAATACCTGTGTACTTCCTTTCTGCTGGTGTTACCTGAGGTGTTGTGACTCGTTGATGTATCCGTGTTAAACGCTTAAAAAGAAAAGAGACCAATAAATAGTGAACGGTAATTCTTGTGTTTGTGTGTTTTCTCTACCATCTCAGAATCCCGGTGCTTTGTGAAAGTCGGTTTTGCCATGTATCTGTTCTCTTTCTCCCGTTTGCCCAGCCCTTCCCGGCAGTTTGCTGGCAGACAGGGTGCTGTGGCTATTAGATGATGCTTCCTCGTAACACGACAGGTAAAATTGCCAAAAGGCTTGTGAATCGGGGACTGGTGTGCTAAGCAGGTTACAGTGGCGGCTCAGATGAGTTCTGCCATTAGTAGTTCACCCTTTTCTTTAGCCTGTACAGCAGAGAACTTCAGTCGGATCTGTGATTTTCTTTTTATGATTGCAGAAACAATAGAGTTTTGGTTAAACTGCTTAATGCCAAGGTTCCAGAAGTGCAGAATTGCTGATTCGTTTTTCCACTGCTTTTGGAATGTTTGATCTGTGATACTAAAAAAAAAAAAAGTGGTTGTGTTTGGACACATTTTCAATCGTGCAGAGCGTGAGTCCTGCCACTGGTGATACAGATCCAGCCAACGGGCACGCAGTTGTTCTGGATCTTGTGGCCCTGGGGACGGAGCAGCCCGGGGGTGCTGTCCTGCTCTCGGGGGCTGGCAGTGTGCTGCCTTCAGGAAGGAGCACCTGCCCCGGCGTGGTGTGGCAGGGCTGGGCCGGAGGAGCCGCGGCAGCTCCCGTCCCGATGGGCTGCCGAACGCGGGAGCCATGCCAAGGCCCTTCCGAGGCAGCGGGCTGTGTGCGCTGACCCGTTTCTCTGCCACCCTCTTACTTGTTCATCTTATTTCGAAGCAGTAGGGCAGGGTGGTTGGGCGCTCTTTGACTTGAGCTGTTCCAGCAGGGGGGCGTCTGCTCCGTGGCCAGGGCGTAGCTGCGGCCAAAGTTAAAACTGAAAGTGAGGAGCGGACCCTGCGGGCGCGCGCCCCCGGCATGGCAGCGCCCTGTGTCCATTGTTCTGCCAGCTGGCAGAGCCGCGATGGGTCAGTGAAAACAACCCTCTGCATGAGGCGGTTGTGTGGGAATGGCCAATGGCAAGCCCGAATGAGGTTAAAAACATGTGAACTTGTTTCAACACAATTCCCTTTGTTCTTTCCCTGGTAGGCTCGCTGAACATCGCTCTCGTTGGGGGGGGGGGGGGGCTGCGGCTTGAGCTCAGGCTGTCCTGGGAGGGCAGCTGCCGGGAGATAAAGCTCTCTGATCTCTGGGTACCTCCAAAATAAAAATGCAGAGTGGTGATCAACTCTTACCAGGTCTGCTCTGCACGCTCGGGTCTTGGATTCGGCAGTTACTAACCTGCAGGGCTAGTCAGCAGTCCACCCTTCAGTCTTTGTTACACACTGAGAGAGGTTTCTCACTGCGGTACGTTCTAACACACGTCCCCTGTAGTAAGAACACCTTTCCCAAGCTTTGAGTGTGTTGTAGCTACAGCCCTCAGTGAAGACTGTCAACGTCTGTCCAGTGAGGTTTATTAAGAACGTGATTCGTGAAAGACAAAGTCTGTCCTGCCTCTGGGCAAACCCCAGTCCTGTAACGTGCCCAGAGCTGCAGCTGGTTTTTGAGAACTGTGTAAAGGTGTAGATCTTTACAGAAGTGGATCACTTGCATTACACTTGCTGCGATAGATGAGCCTCGGTTTTTAAAGGTAGAGATGATTCTGTGTTTCTAGTCCCTGACGGACTGGCTGGCTCTGGCTCAGGCCTTGGACTGTGGGGTTGCCAGTTACAGAAGCTCCTCAGCCCCAAGAGCAACTGAACCGCTCCTGATTACCGTGGGGTTGGATGTAAAAAGTCCTGTGAGTTCACTCTCTAGTCCTGCGGTCTCTGACTTGGCTTGCTTTTGTTCACTTTGGCTTTCCCTTTCCTGCAGCAAGTGGTGCAAAGAGACACCTTCACTTCTGGGTCCTTCTTTCAGGAAAATGCCGAAGCCCGACATTCCGGCACAGCCTGGGAGCGACTCGTGTTTGAGCCCACAAGTGCGACCCCACTTGGGCAGCCTGGGGGGTCACCCAGCTATTTTAGCTTCTCTGACTTCGGCTTCACTTGCTTCAGCAGAGGCTCTCTTCAGAGCACTTGGTAGTCATCCAGGAGGAATATGATGACCTGTAATGACCAACTTCATCTGTACTGCTCGTGACAGGGTCACCCCCCGCAGCTGGGCTGCTCTAGCAGGAGGCTGCTCGTTGTTGGAGGAGAGAGTAGCTCGGGCTTGTAGGTATGCTGGCCGTGTCCCTGGTGGGACATGAAGGACGGCGACTGAGCTGGTCTTTGTTCTGATGGTTAGAATTCGTCTTTGTCTGGGGCCCGAGTTCTGGCTGCGCGAATGCTTTGGAGAGTGGACAAACGGTGTCTGTCTCTGGCTACAGCGGTGAAGCCCCGGGAGCACGACGCGGGTTTTGACTGAGTGGGGTGATGCTGCTTTTGGGTTGGCCTCGTAGCCTTTATGTGTTAAGCAGTCTGGGAGGGGAAGCAGGTGAACTCAGTCTGAATTAAATTCAGTGAAGTCGAATTAAACTTCAGCACCATGGTACAAGCTCCCTCTCAAACTGCTTATCTAAAATGGTGAAGATAGGTGGGAGAAGAGAGAAGGGTTTAATTTCTTTCGGGGGAAACTTTGCTTTCAAGAGTTTAAAGGATGCTGCTTTAAACCATATGTTGTGTCTTTCTAAATGTCCTAAAGTGTCTCTGCAAATGCCTGCTCTTGGGTGTGAGGACTATTTCTGGACCTGTTGCCAAGGCAGTGCCAAGCTTCTACTTGAGGCTTGCACCCTTATTTCTCTTTGATTTAGCTGTCTTTTGAATGTAGAAATTGTTCTTGGCCCTGTTTCTTAAGTATGTGGGACTACTTCTGAAAGATAGACAGCACTGTTCCTTGACTCCGGTGCCTGCTGAGGTTATGCAGCACCTCCCAGGAGTAGGCTGCTTTGATTAACCACGTACAGTGGAATTTTGCTGGGCTCTAAGCCAGTGCTTCTGAGACTGAAGGGGGGGTACTCGAAGGTGCCTTCAGTCTGCTCTTGCATCCCTGCAGTATTCAGCTTAGTACCATCCCTGAGCGTCCCTGGTCACGGGCCTGGTAGAGGGGTGAGGTATCAGAGCCAGCAGGACACGGCGTGTGCAGGGAGACCTCACGGCAACCAGGTACAACTGGGGAGTTTTGCCAAGGTTGCTTAGGGCTCAAATGCTCAGTCGTGATCAGAATCTGTCCTGGTGCTCGATTCCTCTTAAATGTGGTGTTTTGCTTCCTTTCAGAGAAGCAGAGTCATTCAAGGAGCAAGGAAACGCATACTATGCCAAGAAAGATTACAATGAAGCGTACAACTATTATACAAAAGCCATAGGTGAGAACAGTTTTACAATAACCTTAATCCTTGCTGAATACCGTGTCTGAAAATAAAAGTTGGTAATTGATTTAAAATGCACCAGCAGGGTTTCAAACAGCACATGCTGGATGAAAACTTTTCCCCTGCTTTAATTACCTTGCGAAATTTCTCCAGATGGGTAACGCAGGTCAGTGCCAGCGTGGGTGATGGCAGCAGTTCTCTGTTGCTCCTCCAGCCAAGGTTCTGTGACGCGGAGCCAGCGCGGCGCTGCCGGGCTCTCGCGGGGTTTATCCCCGTGGATGGGGTGGGGAGCTGTGCAGAGTCGCTGCTTGACCACCGTGCGTCACCTTAACCTCAGGTGACCTGATAAATTGGGAATGTGGTTTTCATCCACGCGCAGCTTTTTAATCTGTTGTCCGAGCTGTGTGGCCGCCCGCGTTGCCCTGACGCGGGTGCTCTTGCTCTTCCCAGATACCTGTCCTAACAACGCCAGTTATTATGGCAACAGGGCCGCCACGCTCATGATGCTGGGGAGGTTCCGGGAAGCGCTGGGAGATGCTCAGCAGTCTGTCAGGCTGGACGACAGCTTTGTGCGGGTACGTGGAGCGCTTCCTACTCCTTACTCGTGGCTCGTACCCTCGTCTCCACCTACTGCAGCTCCCTCTAACTGTCTCCTCAGGGCCACCTACGGGAAGGGAAGTGCCACCTTTCCCTAGGGAATGCCATGGCTGCCAGCCGCTGCTTTCAACGAGTTTTAGAACTGGATCATAAGAATACCCAGGCACAGCAAGAGGTAAGAGGTTCTTGAAACTTAAATATTCCCAGTAGATGGGGCCGTCAGAGGGGATGGATTGAACTGGCAAACCTTTCGCTTCAGATTTGCGAGGTGGAACCGGAGTCACCGTTAACAGTGACTTGTTTGCGTACTGGGAGGTGATGGGGAGACGTGAGATGCTGTCGCAGTCTGTGCCTGTTTCTCAGCAGACCGCCGGGTTGCACAGTTACTTTTGTGTGTGATTGTCTCTTGGCAGAGAGGCATGGAGGCTAAGCTGGTCCTTCACCCAGCGCGCCAGGGGAGGAGTGGTGGATGGCGGTAAGGGAACACAGAAAGGGCTGATGCAGCGCGTAGAAGGCAGCTGCCACTTTTGTATCTTGTTCACAGGGGCCCGTTTTCCTGGGCTGTCCGTTAGGTCATTTGATTTCAAACCGACTTTAGATGCTGACAAAATTATTCGTGTAATCTGCATTACTGTTTTGTGGTCCGCAACAGTTTTTGCTCTGACGCTTTAGGGATTAGCTGCTTAAATGCTGCTCGGTGGGTTTCAGAGCAGTGACTGTCCTGCAACACTTGCTGTCTTCTCCTGTCTTGCAGCTGAAGAACGCCAGTACTGTGCTTGAGTATGAAAAAATAGCTGAAGTGGATTTTGAGAAGCGGGATTTCAGGAAGGTGAGATTAACTGGATGCTCTCCTGTAGCACTGTGAAGCTGTCCAGTCCAGGCAGAGGCCTGTCTGCGTTCCCTGGCGTTAGCTGGGTCCCCACGGGCGGTGCTGGGCGCCAGGCGCTGCCCGTGGGAGCGGGGCTGTCTGCGGAGCTCATGCCCCCAGCCCTGAGCGGATGAAAAGTGAAGAGGGTGACTGGCTCAGGCTGAGTAATCTCTGTTACTTGTGCCTTTGCAGGGTGAGTGGAACCATGAATGAGCTGTTTGATACAGGTTTTGTCAGCAGCAGCAGTTGATCACGCTTTGCTCCTTAACACATATCCTGGATTCTTCTTTCTTAACTCTTTATATTTGAAAAAAAAAAAAAAAAAAAAGTCTGTCTGCCAGCAATACAGTGAGGGTCATTGAAGGAGGAATGCAGATCTGCGTGGGGCATTCTCTGTTGCTGTTTCCAAATCTTTCTTCCCAAGGGCTGTAACAGGGTGCAGCTGGTACTGACCTGACACAAGACATGACAGCATGACATCTGAAAGGCACCAAACACTTCTCATGCAACTGGTTCTCTTCAGCGGATGCATGTTAAGGCCCAAGTTTGGCCCAGAAAGGAGATTGTCCAGCACATTAAGCTCATTGCTCAGGTCGCTGACTCTTAGACTAAGCTTAAGATTTTGGAAGGGTGAATCCCAGCTTTGTGTCACCTGGTTATGAGGGGCAAACGGGGTGTGTGGTCGGTCTGGATTTCACGTGCGGGGACTGCCCTGCCTGTGTCGCATGTGCTGGGCCTTTTGCATCTGTCCCTTCGCTTCTCGGGTCTCGCTTTGCTGGGCAGCACTGCATGAGATGTGACCTTTGTTTCTGGAGAGCTGCTCCGGCTCCTGCCTCACCCAGAAGCCATTGGCTTCTCGGGCTGGAGCAGAGCACTTCCCGCCGCGGGCAGTCGTGATGTCACGGGCCGGGGAAGCAGATGAGCCTCGGTGGAACAATGGCCCGTTCTGGTGCAGATGGCCCCACCAGGGAGGCCGAGATGGAAAAGACCTATTAGATCACCCTGCCCATTGCAGTCGGACCAGTGCAAGATCCGTCCCTGCACTGTACTTTTTTGTGTTTTGTCCAGGCCAAACTGTCTCAATCTATTGAAGTTTTGTCCTTCCCACGTGTCTTTATAATGCAGGAAACAGGGGCAGAATTGTCTTCCTTGACTTTTTCTAGAGGGCCCTACAGTTTCAGGAGAGTTAAAGGGATGGACCTTTTACAGGTGTCCCTTGAATTTCCTCTGTAGTGCTAGTTACAGTGACAAAGCAGGTGCATAGACCTTTGAACACGAGGCCTTTTAAAAGACAGGGCAAAAAAACCCTGCAGGTGAGGACAATTTTCTAACGAAGGATGCCTCCAGCAGCAGAGGAGGCAGGTGTCTGCACGCTGATCTTCAGAGGCAAATAGGAAATCTCAAGTTGGTAATGGTGCCGCCTTTGGCCGTTTGCTTTGCTCACATCTGTGGTTTTTTTTCTCACACCAGGTTGTATTTTGCATGGATCGTGCTTTGGAGTTTGCTCCTGCTTGTCACCGGTTCAAAATCCTCAAGGCTGAGTGTTTAGCCTTGCTGGGTCGCTACCCCGAGGCGCAGTCCGTAGCAAGGTGAGCGTCTTGGGGTGTAGAGCGTAACAGCGGGTGGTGCCTCCTGGCTGCTGCTTGTTTTTCACAGCCCAGAATGAATGAGGGAATATAAAAAAAGGAAGAGTCCTTAATGCAGATTGTGGTGAGGAAGGGTGTGTGGGCTTATCCCCTTTAAAGGTAATCTTACGGGGAAACTGTCCCTCGACTCGGTTAATAACTGTCAGTCTTGCTTCAGCCCGTTCCCCCGCTCCTGCACATCTGTACCACGGGCTTGGTGAAATCAGTAAATGTCTCAGCGGAGGAAGGGTGCTTTTGGAGACCAGGAGGAGGCTGGAATCGGGAACCATTTCGGTTTTTAATGTCTGTTACAGTGACATCCTGCGAATGGACTCGACCAACGCAGACGCTCTCTACGTCCGGGGTCTCTGCCTGTATTACGAGGACTGTATCGAGAAGGCCGTGCAGTTCTTTGTCCAAGCGCTCAGGATGGCTCCTGATCACGAGAAAGCATGTCTTGCCTGCCGTGTAAGTTGCGGATGCTGGGATGGGACTGCACAATTACCAGGATTTCTTTTTTTAAACCAGACACCTAATGTGGTTGTGCTGCACCCATCCCTTCTCCCTCCCTCGACACCACCGTCCCCCAGCAGGGTCAGCCCCTTCCCGGCTGCTGCTTTAGGTAAAACTCAGTTGCTAGAAGCTCCTTCTCAGGGGCTGTGGTGCTTTGAAGGTTGCCTCCATTCCATTCTTCTTTGTTCCCTGATGAGATGTAGGAGCAATAAAATTAGGTCTGTTGGCTCTAGAAGAGCTTCTGACTTTCTGGTTCAATGTCAGTCCCTACAGGTTGACTTGCATTTGAACACTCTTCCTTTCGTGTTGCTCCTTCCCTCGTTTCTACTCTGTTGTAGTTCTTTAACTGACTTTCTGAATCTTTTTTTTTTTTTTGCTTGTATAAGCCCTCAGAAAGTGACATCCCATTCCTGTTTATTTTGAATACATAGATTTACTTCACTGTCATGTTCTCATCTCACGCATTAGACCCCCTTTGTTCCCATGGAGAGCGCCTGTAACTAGCACTGCCTGTTCCTTAGCGCTTCTCCTGGGGGAAAGGCAGAACGTTCGCAGCTCCTTCCAGCCGCTGCAGCAAGGCTGGGACTTCTGGATCCTGCAGTGGTGTCTGAAACCAAACTACAACAGTTATGTTGGAGGGCCTGCACCCAGCAAAATCAGGTGCTTGCTACCCCTGAACCGCTTCTGATGTCCTTATCCGGGGTATGTTTTCTTTCAGAATGCCAAAGCACTTAAAGCAAAGAAAGAAGATGGAAATAAAGCTTTCAAGGAAGGAAACTACAAACTAGCGTATGAACTATATACAGAGGCACTAGGAATAGATCCAAATAACATAAAAACAAATGCCAAACTCTACTGCAACCGGGGGACAGTTAATTCAAAGGTAAGAAATCGTCACCTGGCAGGTAGTCCTCCATCATATTCCTCACCACGGAGTTTATAAACTACAAACCAGTTACTTTGGAAGGCACAGTCTGACCGTGGGGGCAGCTGGATCTTTCTAGTGCTGTGGGCAGTGTTTCAGGTTTTTGTCCTTGCACAATGACTGGATCTGTTCCAGACAGCCAACGAAGTTGACTCCTGAAGAAACAAAACTCAAATACTTGGGCTGCACAGAGTGGGAGGGAGAGGAGGAATGTAATTTAGCCTTATCTTCATCAGCATAAAGGCATCCTTATTTGTTTCCTTCCTGGTAATGAGGAGATTTATTTTGTTATTATTCTTGTGGATCATCTGTCTCGGTTTGGGTTTTTGTTAGTCTAAAAAATAGGATCTAATTTAAAAACCCTGGATGCTTTTTCCATTCTGGCCATGCGCTATGCAGAGCAACGGCCATGGGGCAGCGCTTCCAGTTTCCACCCTGCGCTGCTTGTGGGCATGTTCCCTCCTCAGCTGCCTCTGTCCGTGCCCGCGCTGCCAGCGCCGAGGCCTCAGCACCCCTGGGTCAGGAGACAGAGGCTCTTCTCAAACCGGGGAAGTGGCTGTGCTGAAGGCAACAAGAATGGATGTTTTACGTGGCTGTTTGTGTCTGAAAACAAACAATGCTTTTTAAAAGAAAAAAAAAATCTTACCAATCTTTTAAAGTTTATTTTTCTCTCTGGGAATTAGTTTGGATACGGAAGAACTTGGTTTCCAGGTCATTCTCAGGAAGAGCCCTGTCTCCACGTGCCTTAAAGAGAAGCACCGTGTAGTTCTACCATTTCACGAGTCAAGCTTCTAATTTTTTCCCAGGGTTCAAAAACTCTGTGTTTTTGGGGAGGGATTGGAAAAAATTTCCTAGACACAGACATACAAAGCAGTGAGATTTTCTAAGATACTTTACGCCTTTCCTTTGCCTAAAATCGTAACGCTGCTTAGCAGAATTTGTTCTCTGATTGGGATCCCGTTAACTTCTGTCTGATGTTGTAGCTTAGGAAACTTGAAGAAGCAATAGATGACTGCACGAATGCAGTAAAACTGGACGACACGTATATCAAAGCCTACCTGAGGAGAGCGCAGTGGTAAGGAAACCTTTGCAATGGGCGTCGGGCAGGTTTGTGGGTGGGAGCCTCCTCCCGACAGCACCGAGTGACTGGGATAACAAACCTGAAGCTTACCAATGAACGGTTCTGTCTCGAGGGCTCCTGCCTTTATTCCTCTCCCCGATGCTGACGAGGAGACAGGGAAAGCTCTGTGTAGTCAGTCCTGCCCGCGCGGATCTGGGGCTGCCTATTGATGTTGTGTTTAGGCAGGATTTGTTCTAAAGCTTGACTTATGTTTATAGACTAACGTAAGATGTTCTGACCCAGAGAGCCCCTCTCGAGCTTTTTCGGAGGGCTGCTGCGGGTAACAGATCTTACCCTGGCAGGGCTGTTCACGCTTCCAACAAGCCAGATTTTGAAATGGGGTGTTGGGCTTCCCATGAGGGAGGAACCCGCTGGCGCCGTCCGTGTCAGCCCCGGGAAAACGGCAGCTCAGGTGGGGCTGAGCGAGTGTCCGGAGGATCTCTGGGTCTGTGTCTCCTTTGGAACTTGGCACCAACCGGGGAAGTAGTCGGAGCTCTGCTCTGACCATGGGTTTATTTGCCACTTCCCTCAGTAGTGATTATTCCCCAGTTTGTGGCAAAGCTGCCTGGCTTAGAGATGAACCAAACCCCTATCGCAGCCCCCCCGTTGTGCGTTCGGTTTAGTTTACAACCTTCAGTGCTGTTCTCAAGCCCCAGCTCCGTAGCCGCTGAATTTCGGCGTGTGGGTCTGGCTGAGATGGGGTTGTTCTGCCCCCGCAGCCCTCGTGGTGCTGTGCTGTGGTGGGAGCACGGAGGTGCTGGGGTGACCCGAGGGCTGCTCAGCGCGGGGAGCAGGAGGGGGGGATGTTCCTTATTAGTGCCCCTCTCCTGGATTAACCGCTGCCCGTCCTGCAGCCCTGCTTCCGGGAGGTGGCGGGACGTCTCCTGCTGCTGAGAAACAGAGAATAAAACCTTCTGCCTTCCTTCGCTCGTGTGCACAACCTTTGCTTTATCAAACTGTCCTTATCTTGACCTGCGAGTCGTTGGTGACACCCCCTTCCCCCAGCCCAGCCGAGGGCGGCTTTGGTGGGAGCCCGGCGCAGGCAGCGCTGGTCGGCGGGTGCGTGGGGCTGAGCCCCCCGCGGGCAGGGACACGTCCCCCCGCGCCACCAACGTTGTCACCTGGAACCAGCGTTGCTGGGACACGGCTCTGCACCAGCTTCCTTGGAACCTGGCTGGCTGGTGTTAGTTCCTGCGGCTGGATAAAGGAATTACCAGATCGTTAAAGTAGAACTTGTGCTGCCAAGTGAGATCGCAGTCCCCACTTGAGCCCAAAGTACGGGTTCCCGTGCCAGGATTTCCCATGAGGAGGTGTCTGGGCTTCCAGGCAGCCCAGCCGTGAGCCTCTGTGGGTTCCTCCGACGACGGCTCTTTGTGCAGCCCCGTGCGCGTCTTCTCCTTAGTTCATTCCCACCCAGTAAGCTCGTGCCTGAACCCCCTCTTGGCCTTTCCCGTGAAGGACACCAGTGTTTCTTTCCACAGTTACATGGACACAGAACAATATGAAGATGCTGTAAGAGACTATGAAAAGGTTTATCAGACAGAAAAAACGAAAGGTGAGCATATTGGTATTCTTTTTTGTGTGCGTAAGTTTCCCTTAACTGGCATTTTTTTGCTGTTTTTTCTTTTGTTTGCTTTCTTCCCCCACAATACACTGTGACTTGTAGCCTCTTACCCCAGCAGGACAGTGCTGGAGAAGTCCTCCAGACCACTCTGAAATACCCATCTCAGAATCTTGTTTCTCTCCCAGCACTGATGCTGAGAAGATAATTTAGCGTGTAGCTGAGGCAGTGCACTAGGTTCAGAAATTCTGGTCGTGGTTCTCGTTCTTAACTGTCGTCTTGCTTTTTAAGTAGCCCGGAAGGTAACGGACAGAGTAACCTCAGTCCTTATGGTTCAGGGCCTAGTGCTGGTTTAAGAGCACTGAGACCGTTACCGGCGTTTGGGAGCAGCGTGGGGTGGGCAGTGAGGCTTCACTCAGCCCCTGACTGTAAATCCGGGTGGGCTGGTCACTCCTGGCGCTTCAGCCCTTCCGCCCGGGTCGCCTCAACACGTGGGTGTCAGCCCCTTTCAGAGCAGGAGGTTGTGCCTGACACTGACGCCCCTGTCCTTCGGCGTTGCTCCTCTTCTAGAACACAAGCAGCTGCTAAAGAACGCACAGGTGGAACTGAAAAAGAGCAAACGGAAAGACTACTATAAAATCCTCGGGGTTGACAAAAATGCCTCCGAAGATGAGATCAAGAAGGCTTACAGGAAAAGAGCACTAATGCATCATCCAGGTATCCACAGGCTCTGGTATCAGAGCGTCTGCTGTTCCTCGGTCCCTTTGCTCCCCGCGTGCCCTGTGCAGCCCTCGCTCAGGGGCAGGAGTAAACACGAGTGGGGGGATTTCTGGACACCCCCCCCCCGAGTCTCAAACACGTCCTGTGAGGGTACCTGGGAATGTGAAGCGTTTCCCATTCACACTAGAAACTGAAGGCTGCTTTCCTGCTTGGTTTTCTACCTCTAGACCGACACAGCGGGGCAAGCGCAGAAGTACAGAAAGAGGAGGAGAAGAAGTTTAAGGAGGTTGGCGAAGCCTTTACCATCCTCTCGGATCCCAAGAAGAAGGCTCGCTACGACAGCGGCCAGGACCTGGAAGAGGATGGATTGAACATGGGAGGTAAGCGTTCCTTGTGATGCCCCACCATGGCAGCCTTTAAAAGATTGGACCGTTCAGGGTCTGCCTGCTCCTCTAAAGCAAACCTCCCGTTCGGGATAGTTCTGTGAACTGTCTGGGTTTGGGCTCAGGAAGCATTCGAGTGGCAGATCTGCACCGAGCACTTGGAGTTGTCCGCAGCCGGGGTCAGGTGGTGGATGTGCCTTGGCTGAGCCGGCGGGCAGGATTTAGGGGCTCCCTAAATGCTGCTTCCCCAGGATTCGGAGGTTGCCCTCGTGACTGAAGCCGTTTGCTTTTAGCTGTTCCCCGCTCCTGTCGGCGCCCTGCGCTCTGCCGCCGCGTCGCGGTGCTCGGACAGGGGCAGCTCTTTGTTTGGAGCTTTTTGTCCATTCGTAAAACGCTTCATGGGCCCTCGAGTGGCAATTGCTCAATTGCAGAAGCTCTAACTGTTTCACTTCAGCTCACAACTTCCTTTTCTTCCCCGTAGACTTTGATGCAAATAATATCTTCAAGGCCTTCTTTGGCGGGCCAGGTGGCTTCAGCTTTGAAGGTAGGTGGAAGTGTTCTCCTGCTGGCTTTGGAAACGTGAGTACCCAGATCGCGTGGGAGGCCGGCGGGGTTTGCCAGGGGATGTGCTGGTGGAGAAGGGTGTTGGGCTTTGCCACATAAAAGCACCTCAGAGCTTTTGGATCGTTCGTTCCACCGCGACCCGGGCGGTGGCAGGTTCCGGATCTCTCGTGTTCCGGAGCGAGAGCCCCCGGGGTGCCCAGTCCTGGCTGCGCCGCCCGAGTGTGGCTCTGTCAGGAGTGCCTTGGGTGCAGCTGCTGGCGCTGAGGCAGCGGGAGGCAGTTCCTGGTCAGCTCCTGCTGCTTCCCCGCCGCTGAACCCGCCGAGGGCCTCTGCTGCAGCCCCCGGGGACCGGGGAGCAGCTGCTGCTCCGTGTGTCCCGGGGCCTCGGGGCGGGCGCGCGGTGGGGCCGGCGTGCTCTGCCAGGCCTTTGGGTGAGGGCGTTTGAGAAGCCCTGGCACGGCTTCCCGGCCCGTTCGCCTTCCTCCTTGTAAACCTGCCGCCTCTGCCCGTGCTGCCAGCAGGCCGCTCCGCTGCGTTGGGAGTCCGCTGCGGGAAGGGCCCAGCGAAGGTCTCCTCTCCCGCTTGTTCAGATATTTGTGTTCGAGTTGAGTCCTGGCTTGGCCTCGAGCTGCTGCAGGACGGTAGTTACCCGTATTGCCTTTGCATTTTGAAAATGCTAATATCTTTCATTTTCTTTTTCAGCTTCTGGGCCTGGAAATTTCTTTTTCCAGTTTGGCTAAAAAACAAAACAAAACAAAAAACAAACACCCAAAACAAAAAACAAAAACAAATCAACCAACCACACATACCTGATCTGCTTATTTTAACCTTGAATACGGACAGACTTAGACTCCTTCCTTCATCACGTCTCGTACTTAGAGCAGTTTCATTTTTCTCGGTTGGAGACCTCTGTTTTGTGTGCTTTTGTGTGTGAAGAGGAAACCAGCTTGGGGAGGGGAAGGCTTGTGAATTTTGTTTTACTGTTAACTTTATTAAAAAAAAAAAATAAAAAATAAAGCTTTGAATCTTTTGGTCCCTCCCTGCTGGCCCATACTTTCAGACTGTTCCTGCTCCTCAGCAGAGAGGATTTCCCTGAAGTCCTCCCAGAATCTCAACTTGTAAGAGAGTGAAGTAATCTCCTGTTTGGTTTGGTTGGCTCCAGAGCGCAGTATGGCAGCATGTCTGGGGTGTGTAGTGACTTGTAAATCATCTCCATCTTCTGAAACTATGGCCAAGATTCAATCAAGTCTGATACAATCGCATTTTACCTGCCAGCTGTCGTCTTTTTTTTTTTTTTTTTTTTTTTTTTTTTTTTTTTTTTTTTCTACCAGAACGGTACGCTTGGGCATTAACTGAAACGATAATGTGTGAGCTTAACAATTTTGTATCGGAGAAATGCTTCTTTGGGTTTGAAAGAGCAGCTTATGTGAGACTTCCCTGTGATGCAGCTCGAATTAAGGGCTCTGTGTTGCCACTCCGAGAATTGTCCTGTTTGCGGGAATATTGAATTTGCTCTGGGCTGAATTTCTTCACCGTACTCTTTTTAATTAATCCACTTAAGCATTTAATATTTGTGCTAAAACTTGATTTTGTTGAGCTTGGTGTTTGATTTTTGTGTCACTGATCCATAACGCGGATGAGCTCTTTCTTTGCTCTGAAGAAATGCAAAGTAAAATTCAGGTTAACGATTGAAAACGGTTACTGTGTGCGTGCGGCAGTGTGCTCTCAATGTTTACAGGGACTGTACAAATACGTTAAACTAGTCGGGTAGTTTTCAACTAGAAGTAATTTACTAGTCCAAAGAAGCAAGAAAATGCAAAGTCAAACTGAACTGACGGTCTGTCGCTTGCTTCTCTCGCCCGGGGCCGAGCTGCCGCCGTCGGGCTGGGGCCGGCCTGGCCGCGGGGGTGCTGCCAGTGGCCGGGAAAGCGCTTTTCTGTTTCACCCGAGATGTCGTGATGCAGCACGATCTCAGCTGGGAGAGGACTCCGCTTCCAGAATCCTTCCCTGGTCTTTAGAGAGCGAAGCACCTTTCTGAGGAGGTGCCTTGTTGGCTCAGGACGGCCCGTGGCGGGGCTGGGGCCGGCGCGTGGCGCGGGGGGGCTTTGGGAGGAGGCACCAGCGAGGAGCAGAGTCCGGGCAGCGCGGCCGGGGGCTGCCCCGCCGTACCCTGGGGCCTTTGGAGCCTCAGTTTGGCTTGGCTGAGAAAACGGGTGTTGGTAGGAATCGCATGCAAGACGCTTTCCTGGAGCAGCCTGACACTAACTTTTATATAATATTGGTTGAACTTCTTACTGCGGGAACGAGAATTGCAATGAATTGATTCTTTGAGCGCTGACATCTTTGTCTTCCTTCCTTCCGAGGGCTGTCCCGGCCCCCGGGGCTGCAGCGCCCGGGAGCTCCGTTTCCCACAGTTGCAATAGTGTGGTGGTGCCGCCGCTACGGCCCCGTGGTTGCGTTTGTCAGAACTTTTGACAATCTGCTTCCGTAGAGGGAAGATTTAAGGGCTTAAATTCTAGTACTGCAGAATAAAGAAAGTATTTTGTAACTCGCTCCAAAGTCAGCTTTTAGAACGAGCCGGTGTTGAGTAGTATTTCCAAAAATAGACTCTACAACGTTTATTCAAACTTCCTTCGCGCCAGTGTAACGTGATGGACTTGCCCGGATTGCACTGCGAGCAAACGAAGGTCCTCGTGTCTTTCAGACTCTGAAGCGGTAACTCCGGGGACTGAAACCCTGCTCTATGCACACTGATACTCCTCCAGTTCTCACGGCACTCGTAAATCAGAGTTTACAGGACTTGTTTTAGCGTGGCATTCGGGATTCGTCGTGTCTTGTCCTGTGTGTATTGAGATTACTGTACAGTTCGGACTTTTCTCAGCCTTCTGTCACCGCGCAGAGACACGTCCCGCGTTTGTCAGTGGGTTTTGTTGTTATTTCCCCCTCCCCCAGCGAAGTACGACAGGCTTCCTTCTCTCCAAACTCCGAATGAGACCAGTCCCTGGAGGACAGGAGGGGAATGGCTTTTCTTCCGAGAGAATGTATACAGCAGATATTTATAAAACTGTACATGAATGCATGATTTAATGTAGTTAAATATTAATATGGTGAGTGCCAAGACTTTTCTAAGGAGCGTGTTACGGGACTCGGGGCGCCCGCCGCAGGTCGCGGGACGGCGGCTCCGGAGCCTCCTGGCGTGGGTCGGACACGCGGGGCGCTTGTTTCTCTCAGAAAATTCAGCTGGGCCTTGCTTGAGCCGTTGCCTTTCACGCGTGGCGGTTAGGGGACGTCGTTCACGGGGCGTTTGGCGCGTGGCCGCGGGGACCCTTGGTGCCGTTTCTGTGGTGGTGGCGGCTGCGCAGACCCCCCGGCGCCCCGGGAGCTGCCGGAGGCCGGCGTTGGCCGGAGATAACGAACAAGCAGCTCGAAGTGGGGTCACGGCTCCGCGGTCTCCGGGCGGTCGAGAGCTCCCGGGGGGAGGCGGCGGCAGGGGGTGACGCCCTGGAGCACCAGCCCGGTGGCTGCGGGAGCATCGAGCCTCTCGCCCGCGCGCTCGTCCCCTCCCTGTCACCACAGGGACTCGGCGCGTGGAGGGAACCACTGGGAAAGCCTTTCCTTTGAACGAAGTCATTACTGCAAGGTTTCTTCTTTGGCAAAACAGCAAGAGACTTAATGCTTAACCCCAAAATGTGCCCCCAGGTGGGCCCGTGAGTAGAACCCCCCGCGTGGCCCCGTCACCGGCCTTGGCTCCTGCCCGGGTGCTCCGGAGGGCGACGGCCGGTGCTGTGAGAAGGTGCCCGGGGGTGGCAGAGCCGGAGCAGGTCGGTGTGTGAGGGAGGGATCTCGCAGCGGCCGCAGTTCGCGTGGGGGCTCCCGGTGGTCCCAGGAGCTGAGGAGTCGCGGGGCCGTCGCGTTTCCCTCTGGTGTTTTTCGCTGGATGATGCTCGTGGTGCCTGAGCTGCTGGGGGGTAGTTTCAGTGACGGGCAGTTGGCATTCAAATGAAAACAGAAGCAGTTTTGTGCTTTAAAAATGAAAACGGGCATCGGTACCCTCGGCATGGGGAGACCCTCGCGTGTGCCCGGGTTTGGTGCGGGTTTGCTTTACAAATGTGATGCCGTGTCAGCTCCACCCTCTGCGGGGGTGCTGCGAGTCCCCCCCAGCTGCACTGAACCTGGGCTTGGAATCCGCTGTAAGACCCTGAAGCCTCTGGCTGCCCCCTCTGACGGGCTCTTGGGCGTTTTGGCTACGCAGGGAAGCGCCCGGTTCCGCTTGGGAGCTCGGAGCGAGGCCGAGAGCTGGATCCTCAGTGCTGAAGGCGTCTGACTGTTTTGTAAATAGGTTGATGCAAATTGAGGAGGAAAAAAGAAAAATGTCTCGGGACAACCGTTGTTCTTGTCCCTGGGCTCTTTGGGGGTCCCTCGGCTCGCACCGGCGGGGTGCAGGGGACCGCCTGCTCTGCTGTCGTGTTTGTGATGCGGGAACCGGAGCGTGGCGCTGCCCGAACGGCTGCCCCAGTCCCAGTACTAACCACGGATACTCACTTCTCTTTGAGTGGATGGTTTTCATCCCGTTTAAATTTGTGCCTTGTACGCCCTCCCCTCGCCCAGGGCAGAGGGACGGCTGGCGCGTGCCCCCCCC